CCTTCAGGATTCAGAACTTGAAAAAGTTTTCTTATTTAACCCATTTTTGTCCCCTGTCCCAGATGTGGAACACACCTATAAAAACTTAATACATTTATGTATAATTCTGTAATATATGCTTATATAATAGTAAGAGTATGATTATATTATGTACCTGTGTCAATTTCATTGCAATAATCACAGAATATAGAAAACTTGGGATTGGGTTAAATCAGGTTATTTTAAAACAAAGACAAACCCTACTGGAAAAGATCTTAGGATTCCCATATTGCTAATTGTTCTGTGTATTCACTCATATTGTGGCTTTCCTTTCTCCATTTATTTGTTATTGACCCATTTCCATGGAGTAGCTTAATAGAATGCGGATGGGAACCTTTTTTAAAATTTTAAAGAAGGAAGTTGTTTATAAAGCCACTGAAAGCAGAATCGTAACAAAACAAAAAAAATTAACCCAGAAACAGAAAGCATATAATAAATACTTTACAAAAGCTAACTTCCTTCTCCTATATAGTTGTTGTTAAAATAGTCTTGGTAGACATGAAGAGTAGATTAACTAAGTAAGTATTTCACCAAATAAATGTAGATGTCCAAAAATAGAGAAAATAGCAAGAGGTAGTCTGAGCATTATTCTGTGTGTCATCTCAAACCCTCTTACCTAGCATGGTTGGTATCTTAGTATAAGAGAATTACCTTTGGGAATCAAGGCATACAGAAATCGCACAATTGGTCATTGGTGTCCCTAGGGTTTTGTTGTGGTACTACCGGGGACTTGCATTTTCATTTACCCCTTGCATAGTGCACATATAATATAGTTATATTATACTGTTTAGGAAATAATGACAAGCAAAGATTATGTGTGTTCAGTATAGGCCCAGTTCTTTCACTTCAAATACTAATGATTTGTGGTTGGTTGAATCTGCAGATATGGAACCCATAGATATAGAGGGCTGTTTGCTTTGTGCACAGCCCTGGGTATGGAGGAGGGGTGCTGCTTGGAATTAGTGCTGCCGGGGCGCCTCCTTTCAGTGACATTTCACATGATGGAATCCTCCCTCATTCCTGAACTAATTGTAGATTATGGGGACCTTTGGGTATATAAGTGAATAATTATAGTCTAGTAATTGCTGCTGAGAATGAAAAGCTGTTGAAGTTTTATAAACTTTAGAGAGAAGACTACCCTATTTGTTAACCATATTTCTTTCGATAGGAGGGTGTCCGCATGGAAGAAATAGTTGAAGGTTGTACTGGAGCCCTTCACATCCTAGCTCGGGATGTTCACAACCGAATTGTAATCAGAGGACTAAATACCATTCCATTGTTTGTGCAGGTATGTTTCGTTTTTAAGTGAGGTATTCTGGATCTAGATTTTATATGTTCTTACGTTTTCAGAAAATTAAGAGAGACCAAAATAGAGACAACCAATACTTAATTTTATGAAAATGTCATTCATTTTCCTTTGTCATTATAAGGAGAAACACTGTGACTAAACCTTCAAGAAGAGGGGAGAAACTTCACATTACATTTTTAGGGTTGCTCAGGTTTGGAGGATGGAAGCTGGCCTGGGCTGCCAGGGCACAGGCATCCAACCAGCTCTGGTTTTTCTAGATCTTAGATTCAAATGGCCTCTGAAGAAAGGATTTGTAACTCAAGAGTATTCTAGATAGAATTCCAGTGTTCTAGAGCATTATTCAGAGAATGTGATTTGAAACCAATAAATGCTGCTCACGCTCCCAATTGGGAATGTTTGCACCACAGTGGGGTGCTTGCTATGCTTTTAATTTTAGATTTAATTAGGTCTTGTTTATGTGTTTTCTCCTTAGCTGCTTTATTCTCCCATTGAAAATATCCAAAGAGTAGCTGCAGGGGTCCTCTGTGAACTTGCTCAGGACAAGGAGGCTGCAGAAGCTATTGAAGCAGAGGGAGCCACAGCTCCTCTGACAGAATTACTTCACTCTAGGAATGAAGGTGTGGGTAAGTAGAAAAGGAACAAAAGCCTTTTAGTGGATATGTGCGGACAGTAAAGCCTCAGCTTTTCCTCAATGGCCATTTTTCTCTTCCTTTCCCAGCAACGTATGCAGCTGCTGTTCTATTTCGAATGTCTGAGGATAAGCCACAGGATTATAAGAAACGGCTCTCAGTTGAGCTAACCAGTTCCCTCTTCAGAACAGAGCCTATGGCTTGGAATGAGGTAGGCAAATGTGTTCACATTGATCTGGTAGTTTGCTAGAGCAGATTGCTAGATTGTTGTTTGCAGCACTCAGTACATGTTCATTTTCATTGATGGTATCTATCCCTGGATGGAGTGTTGGTTGTCTTTATGCTGTTCAGCAGCTGCTTTGAGGAAGAAGGAAGTAACCAGTTCAGAATCATTTAAACAAGTTGTCCCTTAGAATTCATAAGGAAGATATTTTTGAGGAAGGATATATAGGAAAGAGACAGAGGCAGTGTGTTAAGCAGTTAATTCAAGTCAATTTATTGATACTTTTTTAAAAACAGTTTTTCATATCTATAACAAATAAAAGTAGAAACGAATTTTTCTTCAGTGCAGGATTTCATTGAAACACTGTAGTAAACAAAATTAAAGCCAACCTGGAAGTCTGTTTTACCCACCCTATAATAATAAACTACAGAACATAGTCATACAGTGAATTATATTTGTTGAATGAATGGAAAGAAAAATTGGCAATCTAAGGTTTTTTTTTTTTTTAAACAGTGAGTAATGTGTTAGTTGGGTTTTTAATAGACATTAACATGTTCCAACTTGAGCCACCCATCCTTATGCCAAACCTATTCTCATAGGTCTTCTCTGTCTTAGTTAATGGCAACTTTGTTCTTCCAGCTGCTCAGGCTAAAAATCATCTCTTTCCTACAGTACATTCTGTCAGCAGCTCCTTGGAGGGGGCATGGGGGCATTGTGCCCATTGGGTTAATTGCTATATCTCTAGCACCAAAAGTGCAGTGTCTAGCATATAGTAAGTGGTTAGTATGTTTAGTTGAAAGAATTAGTTAAATGTTTTCTCTTTGCACACAATTAAAAATAATATCTTTGAGGGAGGGATGTTTAAAGGACTCTGATTTTTAAAGTGTTTTTGTAATATTGCCTTCCATGACTTTTGTAATCTTCAGAGAATGCAAGAAAGTATAAGTTGAATTTTCATTTTTTCCTTGTATTCTTTCTTTCCTTGTACTCATTTATCTAGACTGCTGATCTTGGACTTGATATTGGTGCCCAGGGAGAGCCCCTTGGATATCGCCAAGATGGTATGTCTCTCATATTTCTCCATATTTAACTCCAGACCATGATAAAGTTATAAAATTTTATGACAGAGCCAGTTTGCTCTTCTGGGAAACCAGTATTGGCAAGAAAGTAGTGGCTGCAATTAAAGGCAGTTCTTAAATTCCAGAGTCAGCAATACTATTTTTTTAATTGAGCATAGGGAATTTTGAACCACACATACTGAGCATGCAGCAGGATCACACCACCAAATACACGTCACTTCTGGATCTGTGCTGTGTAGGATGTTCCAGTTGCCTGGCTTTTTATTCTTTTTGGTCAGAGAACCCATAATACCTTTGTCTGCAAATCTATCTATAAGCTCAGATGGGGGGGTATGTGTGTGTCAGTACTTATGTAGTTAGTTTTGAAAAGCTAATTTGAATCTTGATAATGAAGATGAAGAATAGAGTAGACTAATAACTCTGAACCTTCTTAAATTCATAATCTCATCTGGTTTTACCTAATTCCTAAACTCTGAAACTCATAGCCTTCTTACCATGGCAGATCAATGTCAACCCTTTTTAAGGTGTCATTGGAAAGAGTGTCTTGAGTTTTGTTTTTTGTGGGTATAACCAAAACTTCACCCCATCACACTGCCTTGTTATTATTTCCCTAATCAATGCCTAAGAGGCCACACAGTGGATTGCCGTTTTTTTCCTCAGGCACCTTAAGTCTCTTCCAGGGTAAAAGCAGAGTGTTCAAGAGTATGTGGATGGTATGACTGAAACCGCTGGTGTGCTTCTAGTGAAACACACGGCTTATGTAGTCTCACGGGTGGCCTCGCTCTTGAGGCCTACAGTGAGTCACTGCTTGGCTCAAGAAAGAGGTTCAAGACGTTGGAAAGGACTGTTTTCTGACAAGTTTGCTACTAAACTGTGGCTGCCCTAACCTCAGTGTCAGCCTGTGTGTTTCTCTCCCATTTTGTTGCCACCCCAAATTTTCTAGATCCCAGCTATCGCTCTTTTCACTCTGGTGGATACGGCCAGGATGCCTTGGGTATGGACCCCATGATGGAGCATGAGATGGGTGGCCATCACCCTGGTGCTGACTATCCAGTTGATGGGCTGCCAGATCTGGGACATGCCCAGGACCTCATGGATGGGCTGCCTCCAGGTGACAGCAATCAGCTGGCCTGGTTTGATACTGACCTGTAAATCATCCTTTAGGTAAGAAGTTTAAAAAAGCCAGTTTGGGTAAAATACTTTTACTCTGCCTACAGAACTTCAGAAAAGACTTGGTTGGTAGGGTGGGAGTGGTTTAGGCCTATTTGTAAATCTGCCACAAAGATATATACTTTGAAAGGAGATGTCTTGGAACATTTGGATGTTCTCAGATTTCTGGTTGTTATGTGATCATGTGTGGAAGTTATTAACTTTAATGTTTTTTGCCACAGCTTTTGCAACTTAATACTCAAATGAGTAACATTTGCTGTTTTAAACATTAATAGCAGCCTTTCTCTCTTTATACAGCTGTATTGTCTGAACTTGCATTGTGATTGGCCTGTAGAGTTGCTGAGAGGGCTCGAGGGGTGGGCTGGTATCTCAGAAAGTGCCTGACACACTAACCAAGCTGAGTTTCCTATGGGAACAATTGAAGTAAACTTTTTGTTCTGGTCCTTTTTGGTCGAGGAGTAACAATACAAATGGATTTTGGGAGTGACTCAAGAAGTGAAGAATGCACAAGAATGGATCACAAGATGGAATTTATCAAACCCTAGCCTTGCTTGTTAAAAAAAAAAAAAAAATTTTTTTTTTTTTTAATATCTGTAATGGTACTGACTATGCTTGCTTTGAAGTAGCTCTTTAATTTTCTTTTTTCTTTTTTTTTTTTGCAGTAACTGTTAGTTTTTTTTAAGTCTCTTGTAGTGTTATGTTATAGTGAATACTGCTACAGCAATTTCTAATTTTTAAGAATTGAGTAATGGTGTAGAACACTAATTCATAATCACTCTAATTGTAATCTGAAGAAAGTGTAACATTGTGTAGCCTTTTTTGTATAAAATAGACAAATAGAAACGGTCCAATTAGTTTCCTTTTTAATATGCTTAAAATAAGCAGGTGGATCTATTTCATGTTTTTGATCAAAAACTTTATTTGGGATATGTATGGGTAGGGTAAATCAGTAAGAGGTGTTATTTGGAACCTTGTTTTGGACAGTTTACCAGTTGCCTTTTATCCCAAAGTTGTTGTAACCTGCTGTGATACAATGCTTCAAGAGAAAATACGGTTATAAAAATGGTTCAGAATTAAACTTTTAATTCATTCGATTGTGTCACCTTTTTTCCTTGACATTAAGTGTTACAGGAGTCTTAAGTTTACCCAGACTACCTTCATCCTGAGCAAAATTCACATAGTGAAAGTAATAATTTTAAGTTGTAATGAGAGAGAAGACCTTACCCTCTGCATAGGATTATTTGCCAAGTTTCTTTAGTACTTGGCCCTGGGTTTAAAACGCCCCCCTACCCCCCACCCCCAGTGTATTTCAGCCTAAAATATTGTGATTCTAACTAAAGAACTAGTACTCCTTCACCCTAGCCTCTTGGTGTAGTTATGGGTTTAATCTTGATCTTGCTCAGGTAATCAAAGACCTCCCCAGTTCAAAGATATCTGGGTACCTTGTCTTTGAGCTACACTAAGCTAAAAGTCGAGAAAGCTGAAAGCCAAATAATCACCCTCTTTTAGATGGTGTTTCATTTCAAGTATTTTTTAAAAGTATACCAATTTGAACTTCAAGAACTTTTACCCAAGCGTGACTCAGAGAAGGGAATTTCTTCAGCTCCACTTTGAACTGATAATTAAACATGCTTAAGTGTCTATGTCTATCTATCTGAACATAATCAGAGAGCCTGAACAGGTCTTCTTCCACACCATCTGCCAGATGAGCCAGTCATCCTGGTGGTAGGTCTGACAGGGTTCATTGCTCAGGACAGACTTGTAAAGACTTGCGATTTTAGTCTTTTAAAGTGAAACTGTTTCATGCTTAAGGAAACCTGTTGGTTTACTATGTTTAAAACATAGTGACTGACAAACATGCATTCAGATCAACTTCATCTAGGGAAGACTTTTTGTAAATATTTCTTTCATAAAAACAAAATGTTATTGGAGTTGAAAGAGGGTGCCTCATGCATGACAGAATCAGCCAGTACTGATAGGTTGGTTAACACTAAAGACAGGGGACTGAGTTAAATATATTGACATAGGTGCAGTAAAATAGGATGAAGGACAATCTAGAGCTTACATGTCAATATTAATAGTATTTATGTAGACTGTGTTTAGACTGTTATAGATGTGGAACACCTATAAAATGGGTTAAAGGATTTATAAGCTAGACAACATCTTAGAACTTTTGCCTACTGCTATACTTTTGAAGTTCCATTTAAAACACTCTGATCAGCAGGGTATTCTGGAATGTACTTAGAAGCACTAAGGGCAGTTAATCACCAAAATATTTAGGAAGAAAGAGAGGAAGGCTTGTTCTAGTAGCTGTCAAGCCTAACTTTATAAAGAGGTAGTTAGCACTGTTGTTGGCACAGCACCAGAAATGTGTATAGGATGTAGGCACTCAGAGAAACTTTGGAAGTAGCATAGGTCAGTGAGGAAAACTTTCATAAAGCTGTAGAACTAACTATTAGATGGCCAGAAAAATAACCATTACCCCAAAATATCAGGGTTTTAAATAAAGGTGGTACCAATACTGGTTTGGGTTTTGCCTCAAAACTCCAGGATGTCTGTGGAGCATGATGTGACACCCCATGTTGCAAGCCCATGTGTCCTGGTGTCTTTGTTCACACAAAACACATACTATATAGTAAAAGAGCCACAGTTTCACACAATATGGGTGTGGGTACATTACAAGATCTCTTTCATACAATACTGAACAAAAGCAACTTACTAATGCATGCTATAGAACTTAATTTTGTTAAAGGGGGAAGGGAACAAGCTATTTAAGGAAAGAACTCATAGATGGTGAGACTAAAAAATTATGAAGTGCTTAGATGACTACAAAACCCAGAATGGTCCTTAACCTGGGGAGGGGGAGATGCCATAGGCTCTTTCCTGTAAATTGAAATGGTGGGACTTGGGGAGGACAGGGAATAAAGCAGCCAGCAATGTTGAGCTCTGGCCAGGAATGGTCCACTGGACAAAATGATTCTGAAATACCAAAAACTTCCCTGTTTTGTGTGCAACACCAAAGATTACTCCCTGCTTAAATAGAAGGGGGAAAGAGTCTTCCACTGCTCCAAAATACTTCTGAGAAGACTCCACACCCTGAACCTTAGGGCTGTTTGTTCCCCCAGGAACAAATATAAAAGGAGGGGTGACAGATACAAGGAGACCTGTATCTGTTCTGTGCACCCAACAGGCAGAGCCCCTGAAGCTGATCCAGGCCTCTGGCTGCTCCACTAACTACCCCGTACTCGGGCAAGATCCCATACTCTGGCAGATCTAATCAGGCCTGAACCATAGGCATCTCGCACAGCAGGACTTAAATCCTGAGGCCTTCTCACCGTGGACATGAAGTAGACTATGAGAGGGCAAAGGAAACTGCCTGTGGTGGGACACAGAATACACTGAGTCACATATCAAGCTCTGAATACCTACTGATGGACACAAGGGTTACAGAGTCACAGTCTTGAATTCAATCAAGCTGCGCGGCCTTGTGGGCAAGTAAAACAGCAGCCCCCTGAGTGTTTTCTCATCTATGAAATGAAGCTAAGGCGGCCTGCTGTGCAGGCTGTATTGGGGATTGAATAAGGTAATGAACATTTTTTAGATGGGGAAAATGAGGCCTCAGAGAGGCCAAGGGATGGCCTCAACTTGTTGAAGCTGTCCAAGATCCAACCCTACCTTCCATATTCAAGAGTAAGCCTTCCCCAGGACAGCAGTCCTGCATCCTTCCACAGTGTACACCAAATAACTGCACTTGACTTGCAGGAAAATTAAAAAACCTCCCTGTTTTGTGTACAACACTGAAGATTACTCCCTGCTTAAATAAAAAGGGGAAAGAAGAACCTTCCATTGCTCTGAAACACTTCTGGGAAGACTCCACACCCTGAACCCTAGGGCAGTTCCCCCTAGGAACAAATAAAGGGGTGGAGGTGTGCTGGGAAAATAGGGAGACCCATGTCTGTTCTCTGGACCCAACAGACAAGACAATATGAGGCAGAAGCTAGAAAGCTTTCCAGGATAAGGTGGGTAGGTGGTAACAGTAAGGGAAAACGATCTTGATACCATCATCCCATCTAGTTGGGCATACTGTCTAGGAAGGCAGCATTCCTGAGCCTTTTGCATTCCTGTAGGCAAACTCAACCTATCTGTACTGGTTAGTAAATCTTGCCCAGTCCTCCCCAGGACTACTGAAATCAGTTTGTCCCTGGAACAAAAAAGTCCTGACAGGTAAAGTGGGAGGAAGACAAGGGGCTGAAACTACCTTCCAGAGGCTTGCTCTGGAGTTGCAGCTGGGTAAAAGATCTTTCCCATAGAGAAGCAGACCCAGAACTGTTTCTGACCCTGCTTTAGTAGCACAGGCAGGGCCTACTTTAGTGGAAGCCTACTCAGCCCACACGGAGAGAATTCTTGATCATAGCTAGCAAACCTGGGCTTCCCTACAAGAGCCAACGAGTCCATTCTGAACCAGTTGTCTAGGGCCCAGAGTTAGTGAGAGAACTTCAGTCCCAGGTTCTGGGTTCAGCTGAGTTTTATTGGGTCCAGGCCCAGCTGTGGCTGGTGATGCAGCAAATGTCTGGGAGAGGACCTTACCCACGCAGCCAAGGCTTGGTGTTGCAAAGTGGGCCTGCGCTAAGTGCCTTCCTGCTTCATGCCCACGGCTTGGAGGATTTCCAGGGCCAAGGAAGCCACCACACTGTCAACAGATAAACTGTGAGAAAGACCAAAGTAGACAAGACTTAACAGGCATGTGTGGGGTGAAAGGCCTTGATCAAAGGGGTTGTCCTTTTCATTTAAGCATTCAGTGGGACAGCAGCTTCCTAGAGCTCTGTACATGACCTCTCTGGCAAGCAGAAATAAGAACCCCTGCTCCCGAGCTGTGAGGTGAGAATCCTGCTGCTCACAGCTCTGGTGGGGCTCAGATCTGGCCATGCTGGTGTCCTTAAGTTAGGCCCTGACTCTCTCACATCAAATCAGCTTCTGCCAGGAGCACTGATACTGCACTATAAGGACCTGACAGCAGCCAGACTGCTGAGCCTGCACCCTCAGGGGACCTTCCCAGCTCCTTCCTGGAGCAGACTTGTGGGTCCTAGAGCCACTCTGCATCCTCACTGGCCTGTCCTGCTCCATTTTGCCAGTTCCTGGCCAATCAGCCAGGAGCTTTGGGTTTCCTGCTCTCAGAGGTATAGATGTGCAATTAAAAACTTAAAGTGGAAACTTGGTCACCCCAGCACATTGTTTGAGACACTTGTGAACCTATGATTTAGCAACTGTTAGCAAAGAAAAGAATGACATTCACATAGCACTGACCCTTGAAGTGTAAAATTAGCTCATGGCATACTCTTGACAGCACAGAAATAGAGCTGTTACCACATAAACGGTTGGGTGGGGGTGCCACATGAAAGACGGGTGGCAGTGGGATGGGGCTGCAACCAGGACATGGTGCCATGAATTCCTGCTCTGTGCATCAAAGGCCCCGGGGAATAGCGGGAATGCTTTTGAACTCTGGCCTGCTCCTGGCTGAGCCCAGGCTGGTCTGGTGGGGCCAGACTGCCACCCCGCCTGCCAGAGCAGCCCCAGAGGGGCTGGCCAGGAAAGCAGATCAGCCTGCGCAGAGCAGCATCAGAACTGAGAGAACTGCCACCTACTCTGGCTGGGCCATCTGAGCCAAGTCCAAAGGTTTACCTGGTGTCGATGTTTGGTTGCTAGAGTGATGTGTGTGGGTGCAGGAGAGGCCACCACCTGTGGAGTGCTAAGCCTTATTTGGATAATTTAAAGCACATTTGGGTCTAGCTCCCCTGTATTGGTCCAGTACAATGTGTTAGCTTTGGCTTAAGGGCAGGCAGAGGGCCCTGCTAGGTGAGGAGCCCCACAAAGGTTGACATGGGAGAGCTGGGAGCTCTCAGGGGCTATCTGTCAAACTCCACTCCTCAATGGCTCCCCTCACCCCCAGTGCCCTGCTTGGGGTGACTACACCACGACTCTGCAGAAGGCCAGGATCCATGGATACCCACAAACCAGCACAGCAGGCCTGCAGCCCAGCCCCAGAAGTCCATTCACATCTGACACCACAGGGGCCCAGCAAGGTGGGAAGGGACTCTTTGCCTCCAGGCCAGCCTCTCCTAACCTCACTGGAAAAGCTGGAGACAAACCACTGATCTGTTTTTTGCAGAGGAGGAAAAGGGGCTGGGGCAGGCCAAGAACTGGTGTCCTCCTCCCCACAATCCAGCATTCAATGGGACAGGCGGGCTGCCACAGAGCCACTGTGTAGACTCGTCTCGACAACACGGCGGCCATGTATTAACTCAAATGAGTACCAACCCGAAACACGAGCAGGGAGTTCACAGAACCCTGCGGTTCAGAAAACAGAAACCACAGGAAATGCCTGACTCCATGATCTACGGCACACACTGAATGAGGGTCAGGCATCCCTTAGGGCGTGGGTCCTCCCCAGGGTGGGGAGAGAAACTGGGATCAGGAGACTGGCCTGTTCAACCTCTGGCCACCTCCCTCAGCTTTGGGGGCAGTGGTCACAGGGAGGAAGGCTGCATTCACCAACCTCTACCCCGGCCATGCTGAGGCACTGACTTCAGAGTGAGGCCAGTTGCACGGCACCAGCTGATAAGGGATGGGTGCTGGACCACAGTGAATGTGGGCACCCCTCCCACGCCACCCCCTGCAAGTTCAGTGGGGGCAGCTATATGTTACTGTAGGATGGTCCTCCAGTGACTCGTTCTCATGTCCAAGTGTCAGCGTTACCCTGGGCTGAGATGCCAGTGCCTGCCCTCAGTGTGTCACATGCTCCTCGGGGACAGACCTACCCCTGGCCTAATAGGGACCTTACTTCTAGGATGTTCTAGACCCACGGACTGTCCAGCTGAGGCACAGGAGGCTGGCCTAACCCCACACTCAGCTTCTGCGTGTGGACTGCTCTGTTCCTGTGTTCCCAGTCTGCCCCCTGCAAGAGTCAGCTGATCCTCGTGCCGTGAAGCAGGCTGAGCTGCCAGTTCTGCCCCAGGCCTGCTGGGCCTGCAGGTCAGCCACAAGGTACTGATGACAATGCCTCTGGCTGAGGTGCCATGGGGGCATGTGTACGAGGCCAGCAGGCACTGCCTCTCATCAGGCTCACTGCATCTGCACCTGGTTACCGTCCACCCAACCTCCTGGCATGTGGTGGGGATACCGCCATTCTGCAGAGCTTAGGCTTTCTTTCCCCATATTGATCCCTGTTCCCCTCTTCTTTCCACTATAGTGAAGCTTCCCAGCAGGTAGAGGGCCCAGAGCTCCTCCCCACTGAAGTGTCTCAGTGGCAAGGACAGGCTCGGTGGGAGGTGTTGGTTCCTGATATAGGAAGAAACGAGGGGAGAGGGGTGGTGGAGAGCATCTGCCAACCCTGTGCAGGCTGCTCGACTCCTTCTGGGCCCCACGTACCTATCACCTGGAGCCAGTTGCTCCAGAGCCTGCAGAAGGCTGCCAGCATTCTTGAGGCTTTCTAGGTGCTTCTCATTGGAGGTGATCTGCAAGGGAGGTGAGGAGAAGAGAGTAACCAACTGGTCCATCCTGACTCGCCCTCATGGATGGGCACCCTGAGTGTCAGGCCCACGTGGTGCTGAGGCTGCCTGTGGCACTGGAGAGTGGGCCTCCAGGCAGTCTGCAGCCCCCCCCCCCGCCCCCAAACCCTGGAGCCCAGAGTGCTACTGACCATGAGGATATAGGCAGGAAAATGAGACCCTGGGGTGGGCACAAGTGAGTCCACTGGGGCTGGAGTTGACCAGTTCAGGGTGGGTACCTGTGGGTCCCCCTTGTGGGTCCCTCAGGATGGTTTGTGGTCTGGAAGCCTGAACATTCCAGTTAAAGCAAAACTCCACTGTCTGTGCTGGGACCCAGCAGGCCAGCTACTAACTGGAGATCTGCCCTTGGGGCTCTGAGCCTAACATGATCCCTTTCATGTGGACACAAGGATCATACTTCTGAGTGCCTGGGGATCTCAGGAGCCTGAGAGGAGGAAACAACCAAACCCCAGGAAGTGTGCCCAACTCATCACCAGTCCTGGGAACAGCTCACTTGGCATCCCTGACTCGGCTACACCCACCTGTGGGGGTCACAAACTCTCAGGGCTGGAAGGGGCTTGGATGGGAACTGACCCAGCCTTGGCACCCACAGACCTCAATTCAGCCCCTACATAAAACAAATCCACCTCCTGTGAGGCTGAGACAGAAGCTTTAGGGTGGAACCTTTAATTCTACTATTAGACTTGATCCTTTGTTTTGATTTTTGTTACTGGGGAGTGAACCCAGGGACACTTTACCACTGAGCTGTGTCCCCAGGCCTTTTCATGTATTTATGTTGTACCTTTTAAAATTTTTTTCAACTTCTAAGTTGTCGAGGGTCTCACTAAATTGCTGAGATTGGTCTCAACTTGCAATCTTACCGCTTCAGTGTCCCCATTTGTTGGGATTACAGGTGTGTACCACCACACCCGCAAGACTTGCTCCTCTTAATTCGATCTTTGATTGTTAGTTTAATATTGTTGTGATAAACACTGTGTGGCACTTTCCATTTCAGAGGGCTCTGCAGTTGCCCAAATGTTCTCATTTAACCTTCTCAGCAGCCTCACCTTGCAAGGTGAGTACATGCCGTGTTTTCTAGGTAATCAGGTAATGGAGGCCTAGCGAACTTCAGGGCCCACTACAGGAATGCACATGCACTTGATCCTCTCCCCATGAAGCTGGCCCTGACTGGCCTCAGCTGACCTCACTGCCCAAGTGTTCTGTGTCTCTCCACTTGATCATAGCCACCTAGGCTGGATTAGCATCTCCCTTGTTCTCAAGAAGATCATAGGGTAATTAAACCTTAACATGGACCCTGAACTCCATGTGAGTGAATTTGCACCTCCCCCGAGATCCTTTCCTACTTCGTGAGTGTGCCAGAGACCAGCTGCCAGTTCAACTGGCATCAGCTGTGATTTCTGCAAATATTTGCATCTTAAAAGAACTGCATGTAAATTTGTTATGAAATCTACACTCAACTTGGTGAGTTCAGAAGACTGCTGTTTGAAAATGTCATCTGGAGTTCAAGAAGTCTGAGGTAAGCACAAACCTATATAGAAGGTGCACTGCACATCAGAGCTCTGTGTAGATTCCCACCTGACTTCTCAGACTGCCTCAGACAGTTCAGCTGAGCTACACCTAGGCTCCTGGACCCAGCCAGGCCTGCCACGGGAATGTGTGCAGAGGCCACACTCCAAGGAAGTCACCCTACAATTTTCAAAGAAATAAGAGAACTTTTACCCAAAAGGTTGGTTACAAGGTGCCAATAGAAAACTACGGTGAGAAGTGTGCAATCCAAGGAAGAGACCAAAATAGCATCATATGCAGTGTCATAAACGTAGGCATTAACAGAGCCCCAAGCACTAAACCATGTGATCTGACCATGCATGACCATGATGTTTAACTCTACAGTTAAACATCAACTCTTGTCCTGTGTACAAAAAGCACATTAGAAAATAAAATCTTTAAATTATATCAATCAGGTTCCACTTCTGCGTAAGACAGAGAAAACACATGCCACCCTGTCTGTCCCTCTGAATGCAACTATCAAACCTAGGGAGAATGCACAGGCCAGCTATTTGAGAATGCCAGATGGTCAACAGCAATAGGCCAATTTGGGGAGAACCCTGAGTTCAAAGCACCTGCCTGGTGGAGAGTTTACCACTTGTCTCCAGTGCAGGCCAGCCCAGCCTCAGCAAACCCACAGCCCAGAGGGGAGGCAAGAGTGGGCAGACACACCACTCCAGGGAAAACCCAGCTGGAAGAGTGGAAAGGGGACTCCCCAGAGCTCCTAGAGTAGACGAACCCCCACACCTTGCTCCTGTTCCTCCATTGTGGTTACCCTAGGACCTGGGCAATTCTACGGGGGCTGCAGTGGCAGCTGGTGGCAGCAATAGCAACCAGCAACAGGAATCTGAAGTCAGAGCTCCTCCTCTCTGCTCTTCCAGTGTTAGTAACAGACATGGTGCAATTGTGGAAAGGGAAGGTTTCTCCCCAGACAGAAAATGGGAGACCCAGGAAACCAGAAAGTACTGGGGAGATTCCTGAGGAAGAGCTTAGGAATGCAACCCAGTAATACTGTGTATGGAATCCCTGGGTTCATCCGCAGCCTAGGCATGCATGAAACAGATCCTAAGGGCAGACCCAGAATTGACCTAACAGATATATCTGTCCACATCCCAGACTGACCCCTGGGGAAGGGACATACTAGATAGAGGCACACAGCACTGCAAATCCTGTGAAACATTCAAAATGGCAGTTCCCACCTGCAGCTGAAACTAACCAGCATAATTGCTTGCTTAAACAAAAATATCAATATTCTCATTGGGGTTTCAACGAGAGAGTCTTATACTGCAATATTTAAAATGACTGGGATAGGGCTTAATGGTAGAGCACTTGCCTAGCATGCTCAAGGTCCTGAGTTTGATAACCAGCATTGTAAAAAACAAAAACAAAACAACAAGAAGAAGAAAACACACATACACACAATGACCAGGGTAAAATTCAAAATTAACTGGCATTTGAACAACCATGAACATCTCAGTCACATAAGGCAATCAATTCAACACAGTAAATACAATAACAGATGTTAGAATTACCTGATGAAGACTTTAAATTGTTATAAAAATGCAAACAAGCACTGGTACTCTTAAAAGAAGCATTAGAAGAGAATGTATCGGTGAGAATATAGAAGGTGCAAAAATAAGCCAAATGGATATTTGAGAACTAAAGTGGGCCTCGGAAATCCTCACTACACTGACTGAATGGTAACGTGGAGATCAGAGTTAGGGAACTTGAAGATGGATGAATAGAAATCACCCAATCTGAGCATCACAGAGAAAAGATATTGTAGCCACAGATGAATAGCCTGTCACGAACTTGTGGGGCAATGACAAAAAGTTTGTACCACTGGAGCTACAGAATGAGAAGACCAAGAATGAATGGATGAAAAAAATATTTGAATAAACCAAAGCGAAAACTATTCCTAGTGATCAAACAATGTTGAGTAAATCACTAACAAGAAAAATCCACAGAAATCAGGATTGAAACTTGTCATAACCAAAATTGTTGAAGACAAAGAATCTTGAAAGCAGACAGAAAAACCAAGATGCATGAATTTGAGGGTAACAATTATTTGAATTACTATAGATTTCTCATGAGAAACCATCAAGACCAAAAGAAAGTAAGTGGAGTATCTTTAACATGCTAAAATAAATGCATTATCAAACTGTAATTCTGTATATAGAAAATATGACTCAGGAATGATCTATCATTCAGGAATGTCGGTGAAATAAAGATATTTTTAGGTGAAGAAAAAAAATAACAGAAGCAGAGCTGCTCTAAAATAAAGGAAGTTCCTCAGAGAAAAATATCATAAGGAAAGGAACTTCAGGATGAAGGAAGAGCAAGAGAAACGGTAAATGTAACAAAATGTTCTCTTTGCCTTTCATGGTAGAATAGCAAGAATTATGAGATTTTCAGTATATGTACATGTAGCATAAAAGACAATTGGAAGCAAGGTGTGGTGGCACACACCTGTCATCCCAGTGGCTCAGGAGGCTGAAGCAGGAGGATCACAAGTTCAAAGCCAGCCTCAGCAAAAGTGAGGCACTAAGCAACTCAGTGAGACCCTGTCTCTAAAGAAAATACAAAATAGGGCTGGGGATGTGGCTGAGTGGCCCCGAGTTCAATCTCCAGTACCAAAAAAAAAAAAAAAAAAAGAAAAAAGACAATTGGAACATGAAGCAGGGAGGACAAAGAAACCAACGAGGTAGCCAGGTTGCATATTCCAACTCAAGTGGTGAAATATTATCTTAAGTACACTGAGAGAAGCATTTTATAATCCAGAGAGCAAACATCAAAAAAAAAAAAAAAAAAAAAAAACTATACAAAGAGATAGTTAAAAAAAACAGTAGATACATAAAAATGTAATACTAAAAATACTCAAGTAGCTTTATAAAAGGCAGCAAAAAACAGAGAAAGTAGGGAAATGAAAACACTGGAAACAAACATTTAATAATTATATTAAATGAAAATGATCTACCAGTCAGAATGGCAACTATCAAGAATATAACCAACAGTAAATGTTGGCGAGGATGTGGGGGAAAAGGCACACTCACACATTGCTGATGGGACTGCAAATTGGTGCAGCTAATCTGGAAAGCAGTATGGAGATTCCTTGGAAAACTAGGACTGGAATCACCATTTGACCCAGCTATCTCTCTCCTGGATCTACACCCAAAGGACTTAAAGCAAATTCTGACAAATTTCAATGCTATAAATCCAACAGAATATGTCACAATCTCTAATGATAACAACTATAAGATGCGGATGAAAGAAAAACCAAATAAATGAAAATACTGTGTTCAAAAATTGGAAGGCTCCATACAATAGATATTAATTCTCACAAAATATGGTTTAATAAAATTCTTATCAAAATACAATTAGGAATTTTTGTAGATATAGAA